TAGAGATGGGTATCGCCACCTGTCATGTGGAAGTCAGGTGGACAAGCTCTATGTTTATTTGCTTTTAAGATACTTAAAATTAGGCTGACCAATGCACTGGGAAATATAGTGCAGGGGACTATCCCCTCGGGCCAGGAGGAATGCATTAGGGAACCTACAAGTAATTTTAATATAAAGCTGAGATTTTCATATCTAGGGCCAGGTCCTGAGGAGCACACAAGGCAGGTTAAAGGGGGTGGGGTGGCTCAAAGATGGAATAAAGTTTACTTTTGCTCTACCCCAAACTCTACTCCCTGGAGTAAATTAGAGCAGCCTATGGGCGTCTTTAACTTACGCCAGATGCAAACAACCTCAAGGAACTAAAATGGTAGCTGGAGATTGGCAGAGGGCATAGGTCTCCTGGTCATGCCCCCATTCCTTTGGCCATACCTACTAAGTGGACATTTGGGAGGGGAGTGGCAAAAAGTCATTATACCAGGTTTCCACCATCAGAGAATTCCCCTACACTACAGCAACTGGTTATGCTGGCTTTACAGCTGGGATCTGCCAGCAATCCAGTGCAATACGGTCACATCACATCCCAGGAACTGACCCCTAAATTCTATAATTAAGTGATAAATGACTGTATATACCTCTGCTTAATTTATAAGAATTTTTGGCTGAGGTTGGCTTTGGAAAATTAATATTTATGACTGTTCTGCGAACACACTGGGTAGCTAATATGTCAGAAAAACAAACAAGCCATAAAGCTTCTACTAATGAAGGTACATAGTCAGCCTTCTCGAGAACTAATGGAAATGGAAAGATACATTTCCCCTTTGGGATGAAACGCAAACAAACATGCCTATGAGCTAAATAGGAATGGATCTATAAACAAGAATGTGTTTTTCAATGCAAAATCCAGTACTGAATTTGACCCACAAAGTGCCTGCTGTATCCTGAGAAGTCCTTAGGGGAGAATGGCTTAAAAAAAAAAAAGCCTCACAAACCAAATTTCAGAAATAAGTCAAACTCCTCCATATTAAGGAAGATGTTTAAACAGATCAGCACTTACCCATCCGCAAGGAGAACAGGAGAAGAGGCACTGCATAGACGTAGAATTTCCCAGCTTGCTGTTTCATAGCTGTTGAAGTATATAGTCACTTTGCCCTACCCTGTCTCTCAGATTGTATGGGCAAAAAAATATCTCTGCTGTTGCAACAGGAGTTCGCATTCTGCCCAATGAAAGTCACACTTTCTAAAGTTACTACAGCTTCAAGTTCACAGCATGCTACCTGGATGACTGCCACATTTTAACTTGTTATAGTGGCTTCCATGCTGTCGAAATGCAGGGGAGGAGGGGAACACAACAATTATTCTCTTTATTCCTTTGGACTTGTGTACACCAGCACCGGAACCTGGAGCTGATGAGTGCATAGTCAATAGAGGGTTCCTTGTCTGCTGAGCCCCAAATGGAAGTGAAAAAAATCCAGCATTGGCTTGATTTTCTCAGCAGCTGGGCCTCCGTAGTTCCTATTGATTTTATTGGGAGTTGTGGATACTCGGTGCCTCTGAAAATCTGGCCATATGTGCTGTGCGTGTGATGAAAATATATCCCCCCCCCAAAGTATTTTTTTTAGTGTAGTAGAAATCCTGATTAACCAAAGGTTGGTTAGTGTTAACCGTTGGTTAACTGAAGCTTGGTTATGGGTTATATCCCCTGGGAATGGGGAAGCGGGTTGAAAATAACAGACCTGTCTGCAAAGCTGACTAAGGTACTGTCTTGTTGTTTGTGGAAAGTAAAGCCAGGCTCGCACATAGGAACAGGTCCAACATTATTTTATGGGAAGAACTCCAGTAGCCAGCTCCACATGTTGCAACAGCTCACGCAGTACCCACTGATCCTGCTGGCAGTGTTACAGCTGCATGGTGGACACACCATGCCAGCTGCCTGGCTGACATCTCTTCCCTGAGCTCTGGGATTGTGAACCCAGTGAAGCTTTCTTGAAGCCCACTGGCTGTTTTTCCTATTTCTGCAATGATAGCTGAAGATTTTGGCTGTTCCCCAATGTCCTTCAGATAAATGGGAACGTACTGTTATGGTCTGGTGAAGATTCTGTTCCACATTCATTTAAAAGTTTCCAGTAAGGGAGCCTGAGTACTTTTTTTTGTACTGGGGGGGTGGGGGGGGGCACAAAAAGATTGAGGAACAAAGCTGTAGTGCTATTGAATTGTATTGGTATTATTATAGGCCTGTTTCTTAAACACTCCTGTGGACTATCCTAGTGGTTTCATTTTTAAGACAATGACACCCAAACTCTCACATACTCATTCCCCTAACTCCACATCATATCCTAGTTCCTGGCTTCCCAAATCTGGTGACCCGATACTATGTAGGAGGTTACAGGTTTAAGAGTGATTGCTTTCTTGCTGTAATTTTGGGCTGTGTTCATAGGTGCTGGAACCAGGGGTGCTACTGCACCCCCAGGTTTGAAGTGGTTCCCCTGATATACAGGATTTACAGTTTGGTTGAATGGCTCTCAACACCTCCACTATAGAAATTGTTCCAGCACTCCTGGCTGTGCCCAGATACTATGCTGATAGCTAGACAGATGGATGATGGCTCCAAAAGGTCCCCTGCAAGTGTTTTAAAAGAGCTGAAAAAGGCAACATTTTCTTTCATGATTTAAGCTTTTAAAAATAATTGTGAAATCTTCATTTTGCAGCTTTGTTGTCAATGCAGGGTCCATCCAGGTATTTTCTTTTATCTCTATGTTTCTCTGGGGAAACCCAAGAGCTCTGAGGAGGAATGACAGCATTGGATTGTCTGGAGTCCTAGAACTCGAGAGGACTACAACTCTATAACCCTGCCTAGTGCTGTACAAGGGGGCCCTTCGGTTTCCAAGCCCTGGTGCGGCACTGAAGAGTTGTCCCTTTTGACAAATAATCATTCGGAACTGGAAGGAGTGGAAGTCCACACTGACGTTTTAAAACTGGAGGCCTGTATTTCTGCAACAGGGGGTTCTGAATGATGCTGTATGATGAGCAAAAGGAAATATTGTCAAGGATCCTAGAAATGCATTTGCCACGGGAAAATGCGGAATTTGCCTTTTACAGAGAAGCTTTAGTTTTTACATTTTGTGAAAAAATAAAAACATATACACTAGAACCCCCGTTTATCCAAGCCTCCATTACCCAGCTCTCCATATTAACTGAACCACCAGCCGTCTGGGGCTGACAGTAGCAAGGGCTCAGGTGGTCAGCCCCCACACGGTGGAGGCTTCGGCGGTCAGCTGGAGCCCAGCTGCTGTCAGACCACCAGCTGGTGGTTCGGTTAATATGTATAATGAAGGCTTGGAAAAATGCGGTTCTACTGTATATCAATAAAACATTGTGTTCAACTGATACCTATATATATTGTGGTGAGGGAAACTAAAGTTCAGCATTTCATTTTAATCACAAAAAAACCATGTAAAAGCAGCAAAGAGTCCTGTGGCACCTTGTAGACTAACAGACGTATTGGAGCATGAGCTTTCGTGGGTGAATACATGCATCCGAAGAAGTGGGTATTCACCCACGAAAGCTCATGCTCCAATACATCTGTTAGTCTATAAGGTGCCACAGCACTCGTTGCTGCTTTTACAGATCCAGACTAACACGGCTACCCCTCAGATAAAAAAAACATGGATTTCTATGTTTTTTTATCAGAGAACTTTTTTTTCCACAGAAAACTAAGAACCCTGATGATCACATAAAGGAGTTAAACACCAAATTTGAGGAAGTGGTACTGAGACATAAAAACCTTGTGTGTGCCCTGAAGGAGTAGTCCATGCTGAATCATTATTGCAGTGTTTTTGTTTATGCTTACCTCATCTTGTATTCATATTTTGTTTGTGCATCTCCCAATAAATTTGTTACTCCTGAGAAAAAAGATATACCAGCAATTTCTAAACCAGAGAACAAGGAATTGATCAGCTGTTGCTAAATCTCATGATTTTATTGCGAGTCTTGTGATATTTGGTGTTTTTCTTAAAGCACCAGCTCCTGGAGTCATGGGATTATGAGAGATCTCAGCTTTCACTTAAAATTTTTTTTTCCAGCCCACTTGATTGTGGAGAAAAGCTTGAAAACATGAACACTAGAGACTCAAAAGAATCCAGATTTTATTATTTTTAAACCAATCTCATGATTTTTGAATGCTTGATATTAGCAATACTGGCACTGGCTTGTCTGCTCCAGCAGCTGAGTGGGGACTCCAGTCACAGAGATCATTATCACCTTGAGTAATATGACACTGGGTGACTGCCAGAGCACTGTAGTTTATGGCCCATAATGCTTCCCACAGCAAAGGCCTCAAATGGCCTCCCTGGAAAGCAGCAAGAGAAGCAGATTTCTCTGGCTGGAGCACATATAGGCTTCACTGTCACAGGACAGGCAGTGCTGCCGGGTTTGGGGAGGAAAAGGATGAAGAAACACAAGTTTGGGGGAGGAGGGCTCTGCTGGAAGAGGGGTTCCCAGGCTACGGGAGTGGGATCTGGTGGGGATCCCAGGGGGAGGGAGCAAAAGGGGTCAGGTTGTGTCAGGAGAGGAGGTTCCTCAGACAGGGGAAAGAGGCTGTATTGGATGGCTGCACCCTTCCTGGGCTGTGCCTTGGGGTTTGGGTGGGGAGAGGGGCTGTATTGGGAGGGTGAAGTCTGGGGGGATTGTGCCCTGTGGGGGTGGGGTTAATTAAAGCGAGGCAAGTGCAACGTACATGTGTAATCCTTTTGCCACCACTTGCTTACACAAATAATCAAGGAAACAAAATGGCTGCCGAGCTTGGCTGGGTGGGGGAGGGCGGAACCCGGAGTGGCCTCTAACGGCTGCTAGAGGGAGCCACGCAGGTGCACCAGGTATTTGTGGGGAGTTGGCAGGAGCAGCCCTGCCCATTGCGGAGAGACGGCGCCTGCGCACGGGCTGTAGGCGGGAGACTCGTTTTCTGGCAGGAGAGGCCTTTGGGCCCAAGATTGAAGCTGGAGGGGATGGAACCTGCCGAGACTCCTCTGAGCCCCCAACAGGTAACAGGGCTGCAGGGTTGTTGCCTTCCATAGGCCAGGATGGGGATTGTGGACCCTAGGGCAGAGAAGTCGCGGAGGAGAAGACCCACAGCGCTTGCCATGCACCTCCCTATCAAATCCCAGTCCCCCATACCCATTGTATCCCATACTGCCCATAACCACACACCAGCCTCACCCTATGACCCATCGTATCCCATGCCTCCCTCGCCCACGGCATCTCAGTTCATGAACCCTGGCCACTGCAACTGGATGTGCCTCTCTGACCTGAAACACCTCAGGCCTCCTGCATGGTCTGCTGTGCTTCAAGCCTCCCTGATTCACCAGGCCCAGTCCTCTGAATGATCACATATCTGATACATTGCTCTCCGCCGCCCACAATTTGGGGCATCCCTGCCCCCATGCAGCTTCTCACTGACCCATTGGTCACTGAGGTGGAATTTTTCCTCTTTGCCACACTGCTCAATTTGTGTTTATAATGTAGGGATTTAAAGGCACACATTTGTAGGCATGTATTTTCAAATGTGCCCACTAATGTTGGGTCCCTCTATTTGTGGGCATCCAACTTGAACCTCTCCTGGCCTGATTTTCAGAGATGCTGAGCACTCACAGTTCCAATAGAAATCAGTTGGAATTGTCTCCAGAGGGGTCCCCAAAAACTGACCACCTGAAATTATGGAAATTTTAGTCTTTATTGATAAGGATACTGGCTAGACACACCTATATTAAGAATATGCCTTACCTGAGTTAATACTAACATATTCAGCTGGAACTGAAAGTACTAAAAATATAACCTACTTTTCATTATGCTGTTCGCATTCTTTGTTTATTTTACTGACCTCAGATAGTGAAAAGAAGCTGGTTTTCTTTTTTTACTATGTATTTACATATTTTATTACTTAACAATGAGTGAAGTGAACAATTAACTACAGTTTGTACAGCACCTAACACAATGGGGTCTCGGCCCCGTGACGGGGGCTCCTAAGTGCTACTGTAATACACATAATAAATAAAGATAATAATCAAGAGAAACAGACACCTGATTCTAGAGGATGTCTTCATACATAAAGGAGAGAGAAGTGAGAGTGTTTCTCTACTTTCATAGTTAAAGTACATACATGTCAAATGTGTCTACTTAGGAGAAAAAGTCTCTATTTTTACCAGAGACACAACAAGTATGATAGATGTGAATGGCTTTTTTAAAGACATTTAAACAAGTCCATGCTGCTAAGGAATTTGCAACTTACAAGGCATAATTCTGCTCCCATTGAAGTCAGTAGCAAAATAATAATAATAATTAAAAACACCTAGCTCTTATATTGTATTTTTCATCAGTACATCTCAAAGTAGGTCAGTATTATTATCCCTGTTTTACAGATGGGGAAACTGAGCCACAGAGCAGCAAAGTGACTTGCTCAAGATGATCCAGTGGCCAGGCTAGGAATAGAAACCAGGTGTCCTGAGTCCCAGTCCAATACTCTTTCCGCTTGCCCATATTACCTCCCAAAAGTTGACGTGATCACAGCCTGAGGTGGCACAACGCCAAAACTCTCATTGCTCTCAGTGGGAGCAGGGTTGGGCCCTAAATTAGACCATGGTAAGAGATGACAGACAAAGTCTGGGGGACATGAGAAGGATGGGGTTTATAAAACAGCAAAACAGTATGAGATACGCTTTGTTATGTACAAGTCTTGGTTGCTTTACTGTTTTATTTATTTATTTTGGATATGCTATTAATATACTTACAGCCTGAAGGAGTAAAATCCACCAGTCAGGCAGGAGTGGTGGAGAAGAAATGACTCCTGGCCCAGTATTAGTCAACCAATGAGCTCATGGCTTCAGGAGGTATTTAAAGAAGAATGTGGTTGCATGGGGCCAGCTTTTCAAGTGAGCTCAGCAGCCAGTCATTTTTTTCAAAAGAGCTCAGCAGGTTGGGTGCAAGGCGCATCCTGAGCTCTTTTGAAAATCTAACCACAAGCATCACTCTGTGAGCTGCTGGGTGCTGAGCATGTCGGAACATTTGGCCCCATTTGTGAGCGCGTAACTCTGTTGAAAATCTCACCCAAAGTGCCTAGGATCAAGAGGACTATTCCAGGAATAAAAGCCAGTGTGAGAAAGGACAGAGAGTTAGCTATGGGAGAAAGAGACCAGGGGAAGAAGATGCATTAATCTGGCAGAGTGTAGGGTGCAACTGAAATCTGTCGTAGATGTAACCAAAAGCTGGAAAGCATGGATGGTAAATCAAAACACTTACCGAATAAAGTAATTCATGATGATTGCTCCCTCAGAGAACACATCTTCAGCAAGCTCTTGTGCGTGCTTGAATCTAAAAACCATTAAGCCCAGTCATTACTGTTGTTTTTTATTTACTCTCATCCCCATCATAGGTGCCGACTCCGTGGGTGCTCTGCCCTGCCCCCTACCCCAGCTCACCTCTACCTCCGCTCCGCCTCTGCCTCCTCCCCTGAGCGCGCCGCCGAGTCCTGCTTCTCCCCGCTTCTTCCCAGCACTTGCGCCGTGAAACAGCTGTTTTGCACGGCAAGCGGTGGGAGGGAGGAGGAGGAGGAGGAACGCGGCGCGCTCGGGGAAGAGGCGGGGCCGGGGTGGGGATTTGGGGAGGGGTACAATGGGGCAGGGAGGGGGCGGAGTTGGGGCGGGGCTGGGGCCAGGGGGGCGCAAGCACCCACCGGCGCTAAAGAAAGTTGGCGCCTGTGATCCCTATATACTATATTACTTCACCTTCTTGTTCCCCTGCACTGGCAAAATTCTGTTTCCAACATACCAGGGCAACATTTAAATCCAGTTATGTTTTCACAGATTTTTGTTAATTTCATGAACATATTTCTATTAGGTTTAATAACCCTTGTTTTTCTCCTGGAAACATGTTGGGGCTAGACTACTTTGAAACATCGTTCAGTTATATATCAAGTTTACTTTCTTCAACTTGAAGGCAGGTTTTCACTCTTTCCCCTATAGGTGGCTCTGTGGAGTAGCATTTAAAATTCATTTTACATTTAAACTAGGGTAATCCATTTGTGTAATAGACCTGCAGGATCGGTCAACGCTACGCACGGCTCATGCGGTGCCTCATGGTCTCAGACACTATCCGATGGTCCAGGGACCTCTACACCGAACACATCACCAGCCACCAACAGTACCAGGAGGCGTGAGCCAGAGCGACATCGAGCATCGACTACGAGAAAGGGACTGAGAGACTTTTTCCGTTGGACCATATGAACCAGAACCATAAGATCACTGAACATTAAATCTCACCAAATGAGGGTCAATCCATCCTCATCATCGTATCCACTCATTATACTCCACACCCGAACATAGCCATTATATGAACAATATGCTCTCATATCTCAATGTCTGTACTTTGACCTGTTAACCTTTTACCCCCAATCGGGGATATTGCAGATTATGTAATCCTTACGCCATCCGATCTTAAACCGAACTTCGCACCCTTTGATAATCCGTATGTTATTCCCTGATAACCGGAAACTCCTACGCTTAAACTCTGTACCGTTCACTTTTTTTTTTTTGTAAACATCATCCTAATAAATTTTTTAAATCAGATTGATGGACTACATGACATAAAATGCCTACTATCACTCCATATTTAGACAGGACCTTTCATTCAGAAGAACTGGTCCCCAAGGTGCTTTTTAAACGGCTAGGGATCAGTTCATCACATACCACTAAAACAACACAAATAATAAAATAAAATAAATAATAATAACACCTAGCTCTTAATCACTACAGAAGTTGGATTTCTGAATTCTTTTTATTGATTTTACTTTATTCAGGTTTAAATCTAGTTACAGAGTTAACAGTGAAAGAAAACAGAAATGAAGGTGTGCTGGTAGAACTACAGCCCAGAACATATTCTTCCTGTGAAACTATTTGTGGGGCTGGGGAATGGGAAAACCCAGTGAGGGTCCCCTCATGGAGTTTTTCTTGGGTCGTCCTTTTGGGGGCAAGGGCCGTGGTAATAGGTCCCCTCCAGATTCCCAGGAGAGTAGGGCCTTCTGTGCTGGAAGCTTTGTGACCCTGCACCAGCTCTGGGATACCCCTTAGTCTCCCTTCTGAAACCTTTGGAGACAGGCTGTCATTGTCCAAGGGACACACCTTTTAAGGGGTGTTTCCCCACTGCAGAGAGGGTCACAGAAGAGTTAAGGCATCCCCAGGCTGTATTAGTGCTCTTTTGCTTCTCTTTGGGACTGGTGGGACATGCATCCCTCATGGTTCCCCCTCACAATACTTTCTTCCAGCTGCAGATCCCTCTCTCTGCAGAGTGGGCTTTGGGGAGTTAGGGGGGATGAGATGGGAAGAGTGCCAGGGAGGCAACCAACATCTTTCCTTTGTCCAGGAAGTGGGGACCATGCAAAAGAGCTATTCCACCAAACCACTCACTCATAGGATACAGGAGTCTGTAGGCAAAATGTGATTTATTTTTCAGGCTGTGAACAAAAATTTAGATGTCCCTGCATACAATATTAAACATGCTAAGGAAGGTGCTAGCTGTAAGGGGAGCTCTATACCAGGCCCTGACCCTCAGGTGGCTAGCTTCATATCTCTTTTCATTAGCCAGCTTGTTCTCCATAGCACTTAGATATCAGCTAACTCTCTTAGTGTCAGGTTTACTCCTTTTATATATAGAAGCCTTTCTCCACATAGTCTTCTTATTGCTGCTGGCCCTTTAAGTTGCAGATAAGGCTGCAGCTGCAGCCCTATGGTGCTCATTTTCGAGGCAATCAGCTTGCAGGTTACATCTCTTTCTCCTCTCTATGGTAAGCATTTGATTCTTCTTTCTTAATTTTTGCTTTCTAGCTTTGCTAAGGGCCTGCTCCTTTCTGGGGTGGTTTTTAAGCCACTTGGCTTTTTAACCAGAGCTTTAATAGTCTCCTCAAACTCTGTGTATGTGAGACCAATGCTGAACTAGTTTGTTTGCTTCATCCTGAGTCCTGTAATGCCAGCTGCTGGGCTATTGTTCCCTTGCAAGCTAGCTACCCAATAACAGCTGCTAAAGCAACAAGCTGCCTAGATAGGACCTACTACAGGGGTGGCCAAACTGTGGCTTACAAGCCACATGTGGCTTTTTTACTGTTAAAGTGTGGCTTGCAAGCCCCCCATGTGCCCCGCATTCTCTGCCTACCAGATTGGGTAGGGGGAGCTCAGGACAGGACCTCTGCCTTGCAGTGGGGTGGTGGGGTAAGGGCTTCTGTCCAGCAGGGAGGGGGGGTCTAGGGGCTTCAGCCCTGTGGGGTGCACCTGCCAGGGCTTGGGGTTTCAGCAGGAGTGGAGCTGAAGCCCCGAGCCCCAGCAGATGTGACCCGGCTCTCAAACTTCTGCAGATTGTTGTGTGCGGCTCGGAGGTCCAGTTTGGCCACCCCTGGCCTATTGTGACTAAGAGGAGTGGTGTTGCTCACAGCCCCTCATCTCTGCTATATGTGAGGGTTGATTGGCCTGGGGCTGTCCATCTTCACTCAGGGCTTGCTTCCTTTGCTTGCTTCCTCATCATTCCTGTATTTGTGAATGGGGACTGGGGATGGGGGGTAGTAAGTCAGCTTGCTTTCTGCACTTCATCTCACACATACAGTCAGTGTCTTCTGCCTGCTTGTCCCACTCTTAGGCAGCAACATTCAAAACTTGACTTTGCCTTGCAGGCTGGGGACTCGCTCCCACGGCACTGTTCTGTTGGAGTCCCTGGATCCTGGCTGTTATGATGTCTTTGCTTAAGCTGGTTAGCTGCTGTTTTGCTGAGGGTAGATTTTGTACAAATTTAGGACAGGAAATGGAGCATGAATATTCCACATCCCTTTTGCAAGTATCTATAGAATATGTGTTTTTAAAGTATTTTTAATGATCGCTGTGCTGGTGAAAGGTATCCGAGGGAATGAAGCCTTGGAAGCTGTAATAAGCTATCTACAGAGCATACAGCACGGGCAGTGGTGATGTCTGCTTCCCCACGCTAACCTGATGATTGGCCTCTGCTCTGCAGGGACTGCTTTAGGAGATGGCTGTCCTGGCTTTGCTGAGTCTGCCAGTTTTATGGTTTTCCTCCTGCCTACTAGAAACTGGCTGGCAACCTGCCGTCTCCTTTCTTATAGCCACCGAGCATCCATCAGATAGTAACCACTTTTGGTCACTAATGATCTGGGCTGGGTTCTAAACCACAGCCTAGTGTTGATCTGTCCTATGGCCTTTCTAAGCTTCAGACTTTCCAAAAGGAGATTATTTTAGCTAGCAGTGTTGCAAGCTATACTCTGAAAGACCTCACTGTAATGAATACACACAAGGGAGCTGAGTTAAGATTGCTGCGAGAACCTCTTAATTTTAATTGTACAAATGGTCAGGAAATTCAGGCTCCTCATGTTGCACTAACAAGTTTTTCGGGGTGATATGTAGACAATAGCCGTGGTGAATCCCAGCTGTTTAGAATGAAGGTTGCACGCACGTGGGACATTTTGAGAAAACACACTTCTCTTCTCATCCACCCCGTGCTTCTCATTACATCTCATCAGGGAGGTGAGAGCATCTCATCTTTCTCTCTCCCGTGGTGGAGAAGGTTGGTGTCTATTGCTCTGTGACAGGTGTTCCTATTACTGGAGGGCACACAGCAGCTGCCCTGGTGGCTGCGTGTTCCCCCTATTCTGTCTCATTGCAAAGGGAGAGCTCCTGTGATTGTCACTTGGCCCTCTCTGCTTGAGCTCAAGAGCACTGAACATGAGTGCTTTTCCCTCAAAGCAGGCAGAGTAAGGAGTGCTCCTGTGATTGGTGCCATGCTCATCCTTAGGCAACCCCAGCAGAGAGTAGTATGGTGCTGATCAGTGGGCTTACCCCCCCCCCACTCCCCAAAGTGAGCTGATGAGCAGATCAAGGTGCCTTACTCATGGCAGCTCCATTTGTTAAAAATGGGATAGTGCAGGGGTGACCAAACCGCGGCGCGTGAGCCACATGTGGCTCTTTTACAGTTAAAGTGCGGCTCACAGACCTTCCCCCCATTCTCCACCTACCAGGTAGGGGTGTGTGTGTCTGTGTGTCTGTGTGTGTGTGTGTAAAACTCGGGGTTTCTGCCCTGTGGGAGGGTAGTGGAGCTAGGGGCTTCTGTCAGAAACAACTGGTGCCTGCTGGGGAGGGGGCACAATTTAAAGGTTTGCCCCCTCCCAACAGCTTGAGTCACGTCCCCTTAGGCATGCCCCCCTCTTACCCTCAGTGGCCCCTCCCTGCAGCTCCCAGGTATTAGTTCTGTGTGGAGAGGCAGCAGCAAACAGCTGGGAGCTGCAGGGAGAGGCCCCTGCTTTAGCTCTGCAAGGAGAGGCAGCAGCAAAAGCAGTAGCTCTCCCTGCAGCTCCCAGCTGTTTGCCACTGCCTCTCCCCATGGCCGCAGCGCCCAGCTTGCTGGCTCCAGCAACTGCCGCACAGGGAGGGGGCCTGGCAGCACCATGTGACCGAGTGGGGCCAACAAACCCTGGCAAAAATCTGGGAGGGTATGTGACCCCATGTGGTCCCCACGTGTCGCCTCTGGCTTCTGCCCAGTGGGGAGGAGGTTTTCAGGGCTTCAGCCCCATGGAGCAAGCCTGCCGGGGCTTGAGCAGGAGCAAGGCTGAAGCCCCGAGCCCCGGCAGGCATGCCCCGGCTCTCGAATTTCTGAAGACTGTCATATGCAGTTTGGAGGGTCAATAAGTTTGGCCACCCAGTGATAGTGTCGTGTCTTTTTTTTACGGGCATTATTGGATATTACAGGCAGTGTGGTTAAGTGGTTAGGGGCCTGGACTGGGACTCGAGACTTGGGTTTTATTCCTGGCTTTGCCACTGGTCTGCTGGGCAAGTCACTTTGCCTCTCTGTCTGTTTTCCCACCTGTGAATAGTGCTAATGCTATGGATCACCTTTGTAAAATACTATGAGATCTACTGATGAAAAGCTCTATATATGAGTAAAGTATTAATAATAATACAATTTGACATTTCTGAAGTGCTGTGTTTATGTACATGTGTATGGACAGTTAATAATTAAGATTGGCATCAGTAAAACCAGATCTCTCTCTCTCTCTCTCTCTTTTTTTTTTTAAAGGATTCCTTTGTAGTTTATTTTTTAATAATTTGCTTTGAGATTGTCAGTTTAATGGTGGTTAAAATAACATTTATGACTGCCTTTTGATTGTTTGCAAAACACTGATGTCCGGGTTGAGGGACATTTGGGAATAAAACCTTAATGTTTATAATATAATTGACATTGAAAAATGTCATTCATTAGTTAAGAATCAATAAGTGGGAAATGTTTCCCCATCATTCATCCTGTTAAATGTAGCCCTTTAAGATTTTATTTATAAAGCCTGCAAACTTTTATTCCAACACCTTTCCCCTCCATTATCAAACTACATGGTATGCTTGCTTGCTTGGTTCACAGGAAATCCATGAAGTGGATCATGGTCTTATCCGCCAGTTGCTTGCAGATTCAGAGGAGACTCTTGGTGCATGTACTGAGAAAATGCAGGCCCCCGCTCCATATAACTGGAGTGCTGACTGGAGCTTTTGGGTAACTCGATTGTTTTTTCTCTTAATTAATTGTTATAAATTCTAACGCCCGAAAGGACCATTGTGATCATCTAGTCTGACCTCCTGTATAAAGCAGGCCATAGAACTTCCCCAAAGTAATTCCTAGAGCAGATCTTTTAGAAAAAAAACATCCAGTCTTGATCTAAAAATGATCAGTGATGGAGAATCCACTAAGATCCTTGGTAAATTGTTCCAATGGTCAATTACCCTCACTGTTAAAAAGTTATGCCTTATTTATATATAAACTATAAGTGCTTTTTATGCAAATTTCATCATAGCCTTTAATTAATACAGCCTCCCAGCCCATTCTGGGAGGTAGGTAACTTATCGTTATCACTTTACTGCAGGATAAATGGAGACACAAGGAAGTGAGGTTATTTACCCTATGCCGTGTATCAGGTCAGTGGCAGATCTGGATATAGAACCCTGGAGTCTTGACTCCCAGTTCCTTGGTTGGGTCATTAGATCATACCTCGTCCCTTTTTTATGCTTGTAGAAATTTATTGTTGCTACTTTTTCTCTGTAAAGGCTGAATTTCAATCACTATGAGAACGTAGCATGATCTGATGACACTTTTATATTTCACCACAAAATGAATATTACGCACCTCCTTTTTGGAAAATGTGTCCAGGCTTGGTATGCGTCTGCATAAGAGAAAGAGCTACTGCAGACTCAAGCTGTGTGAAGGCATCTATTTTGCCACACCTGTACAGATGACTTAACGCTGAAAGGAGTGAAGGGCCATTGGTTATAGAGTTTAAGGCCAGAAGGGATCACTGGACCATTTAGTCTGACCTCCTGTATATCACAGGCCACCAACGCCACCCAACCCGTGCACACTAAACCCAACAACTGAAATAAGACTAATGTATTACAGCACATAGGAGACTAGACTAGTATGTGCCACAGGCAGAGAACAGGAGAGACCAAGGTGCACCAGTGCCCAAGGCCCCCACAATGGCAGGCAAATGATTAAGTGAGATATACCTGGATAATCCTGGCAAGTGACCTGCACCCCCATGCTGCAGAGGAAGGTGAAAAAACCCAAAGGTCCCTGCCAATCTGACCTGGGGGAAAATTCCTTCCTGACCTAACATGGTGATCAGTTAGACCCTGAGCAGCTGAACAAGAACTAGCCAGCCAAGCCCCTGAGAGAGAGAATACTTAGCACACCTCAGAGCGGGCAATAAGAATCATTCATTTAAATCCTTCGCCCATTACTTGCTGAAGATTTCTTTGAAATAGCACCAGAGAGGCCTAGGAAGGGCCACATATAATGTGTCTAGAACTGGTGTTCCTGTTCAACACGAAGGAGTGGGGAACATGCACTGTGCCCAGCCAAAGTTAGATTATGAGGAAAATATCCTGACCAAGGGGCTAAGGTTCTCACTCCAGAACTCAGTCATTGCAAAGTAACTCATGCTCCACCCCATGTGGCATTGGAGCCTGAGTGGTAAATAATCACAATGCTGCAGCTATAGGTTTGGGAGCATTAACTGTAACAGCTCTGGTGGCAGTCATGTGAGGCGAGTAAAGAGTATTAATCACATTTTTCAGATGAGAGGAGTGAGTCAGAGAAGTTAAGTGACTTGCCTAAGGTCACGCAGTGAGTCAGTGAATCAGTGGAATAACCAGGAATACAAGTCAGCAGTTTGATTCCCAGTCGCATGCTCATATCTCTAGCATATGTCTTTCTTTTCCCACTCCCCACCTCTCTCTCTCTCTCAAGCTGGAATGTGATATTTTAAATAATCAAAGCATTGACTTTGAAATAAAAACCTCCTGGAAACTTAAACCTATTAGGGTTGACTCCGCCCTTCCCTCTGCTGAAGCAAACGGAATGTTATGTTTTGTACTGTGTATCTGATGAAACCTTGCAAAGTCAAAATGCATCATAGAGTTCCATGTTTATCCTATCTGTTACTCCAGATCAAATTTGTTCAGTTTAAAAGTAAACCTGTTTTTCTGTCAGCCCTGCAAACATACACTAGGATCTGAGATTCACATTTATTTCTTTTCTTTTCACATGTTCTCACCCATGTTAAAGATCCTACAGGCAAATATTCTGCCTGCTTAGCTACATCTGTGTACCTGAATTAAGGGCTAATCGAGTTACGCAGATGTAATAGCTGTTAACTACGTTTTGTTTACGGGGCTAAATGAGGTTGCACATGTGTCATTGTGTAATTCAGCCTACACAACTGTTGTTGTTGATAATTCACAGAAAGAAAAAACCCAGTTTGACTCTCAGATCTTGGGGGCAGTTTGATGGTCTGGCACTTAGAAAAAGACATCTGAGTTTTACTTGTAAGCTTGGCAAATCTGAGCTGAAGACATTGAGTTACAAGTTTGTACAGCGCCTAACACAATGGGATCCTGGCCCTTGACTTCCAGGTGCCATGGTAATACAATGAATAATAAATACAGCACCTCACCATGCCACTATCACAGTCACCTCTTCAGGCAGAATTGCACTTTTAGGATCCTGTGGCATTTTGCCTAAAGGTAGAAGCTAGGCCCAAATTTTCCCTCCTGCCCATTTTTGTACAGTGTGTCATTCATCCATGGAGTGCTGCAGTCTGCCTCAGAAATGGTTAAATTTCAGTAGTGCTGTCTGTGTGTAGTTTGTCAAGTGTTTGGGATTCTTTGCTGTGATGAAGGATGCTATGTAGGTATTCTAATATATTATGTTTCTCTGTATTATCTAGTGAAATAAAATAACACTTTTTTGTGATTGCTATTTCCTGAACTCCTGGATGTATTTAAGCCTGTAATTCACGTTTACCTGTTTATATAAGTATTTTCCTGTATTTAAAACAGGGGACTTGTATAATAGTTCCATATACTTGGCCATTGAAAGGCACCACTGTGGTCTGAAAAGCAATACCTATGCTGCAGGAGCCAGATGCTGTCATAGACTATCTCAAAAAAGCCTCCCAATTATTTGCTTAAAAAAAAGAAAAACCCATAATTTAAAAATGGGAAGTAAATCTTTCACCTGCTTGTTAGGGGCTGTGGTAATGAGATGTTTATTTTCCAAGTTTAAAGGTGACAGCATAATTAGTGGGGATTGAATGAAGAAGCAGCAGGAGGCATAAAGAATGATGTCATGAGCCACGTCAGACAATAGCATTCCTGTGCTAAAATGAAATCATTAGACTCCCCTGCCATTAAAATGGTGTTACGTCATTTTCTGCCTCTATCCCAGGGAATGAAAATCACATGTTTCACTAATGTCTTGCCTGGTTGGCTATCAGCTGTTGGATATAAACTGGTTCTTATAGCTCCCGTGAATCATAATAGATGTGTAGGTGATAACACAGCAAACGATGTGTGCCATTACATAAAGCATATGTCAGTAACATTCAGTCAAAGATGATGTAGCTTTCTATGACAGGTATAGACTTTTAGTAGGCTCCTTCCCACTCTTTTAGCCAATAGAAAAGCTGGGAAATTGCAATAAACACGGGGCTACTCCATAAACATTAGCATACACAACACTGCACAGATGTCAGCTCTGCTAACTGGAATATTTGCTGCACAAAACTGTACTTTGCTGACTAGCCACTGACTTGTTCCAAAGGCTTTTCTACTTTTCTTCTCCAGGTAAGTACAAGGATTTCCTTGAGGATGAAAACCAGGCACTTCTCTATAAAATCCTGATTGGTCTGATTTTCAAATCTGCAGTGTCCATTGACTTGAGTGGGCGTTGGGGATGCTCAGCACCTCTGAAAGTCAGGCCAGAGGTGACTGCCATTTTACAGAGACATTGTGATCTAGTGGAATGAGCACAGGATTGGGAGTCAGGAACTCCTGGGTTCGGCTCCTTGTTCTGACACTGGGTGATTCTGGGAAGGTCACTTAATGCCCCTATACCAATTTTCCCCCACTCGTCCCCCAGTCTCTAAAATGAGGATAAATACTTACCAGCCCTACTTCACACAGGTGTTGTGAGAATTAATTGGTTAGGGCCTGATCACCTTACTAATGTAAGTAGTTCTCATGTGCGTAGACTTCTCACATGTATAAAAGTTTTCAGGACTGGGTCCTTAATGTCTGTACTGCTCTTTGAATGTGTAAATCATTTCTTAAATGCCTAGTATTATTTTATTGCTACAGAATTTTAATAGCAGCGTTTCAGTTCACTCAAATGCGTTTTTACTAGAGATGGGGGGAAAAGCAGGGGTGCTTTAGATTTGGAGGTTGTAGAGTACCATTTTTATCAGAATTTCTAATCTAAAGCTTGTGTGTGCTTCTGGATAACTGGTTCTGGTTGGGTATAATCTAATATTCAAATATAAATGGGCAAAAACAGAGGGGCATTGAACATAGCAGTTATATCTGGGAGCTCTGTCCCAAGATTCTCTACTTTTTATCTTTTTTATTATCTTCCAACAATATAATTACGTTCAATTTCCTGGGGTGAGGAAACGTATAAAAACCTAACACCTCACTTAATTAAGGGGATTTCAAAACAGTGAAAAAACTAGTCAAAAGGACCTTCAAGTCAAAAGTAAGGAAGTTAAAATTCTTAGACTCAGTATGGGGTTGTGTCCTAAAGCATCCCAGAAAGGGTGTAGCCCTCTAAATTGAAAAGGTCAGCAAGAAAAAAATTCAGTCTTGCTAAATGTCAAGGTTCAGGAAGTTATTTGAACCAAACCAGGTATCTTTCATCAAATGGAAATCCAGTCCTAATTAAGCCAATAGAAAAGAATATATGCTATGGCAGGGGTTCTCAAACCGGGGGTCGAGACCCCTCAGGGGGTCGCGAGGTTATTACATGGGGGGTTGCGAGCTGTCAGCCTCCACCGCAAACCCCGCTTTGCCTCCAGCATTTATAATGGTGTTAAATATATTAAAAAGTGTTTTTAATGTATAAGGGGGGGTCACACTCAGAGGCTTGCTGTGTGAAAGGGGTCACCAGTATGAAAGCTTGAGACACTGTACTATGGCAAGTAACATGTCCATTGGAAATGAGGA